AGGAGCCTCTAGTTGCTCTAACTTAATGCTTGGAGAAAATTTTTTGATGTGTCATAGATGAAGAGAGCCTAGTTGTAGTATACTGGGCTCTTACATGGAGAAGATAGAGTTACATATCAAGAGAAATTGAAGGATGTCAGCAAACCGGTTAGGCCAGTTTGCCTTCTCCCACACCCTAGGGAGGGTCTTGGGTTTTGCCATAACCCAGGCCAGCCCTCTTATAAGCCACCACCTAGGGGAGAGCCTTGGGCCCTGTCATGTCTCAGGCTAACTCTACCTTTCTGAGACTACCACCCAGGAGAGGGTATGACCTGTTTCAAACAAATCAATCATAAGCTCAGGTCAGTCTGCCATCCTGTGGCCACTGCCCTGGATAAGGTCTGGGCTGATTCAAACATACTGATCATAATCTGACAGACTGCCTAAAGGGAAGAGAGAAAGGTGGTGCAGGAGAGGGTCAACATAAAGCAACAGCCCAAGACCACGCAGTGGGACAACCAGTTTCTGAGTTCCTCTGAGCATACTTCTGAGTGGCCTTTATATTCTTTTTATTTTCTTTATTGTGAAAATACTGTACAGAGGGGTTACAATTACATGAGCAAGGTAATGGGTACATTCCTTTTTTTATTGTGAAAATACTGTACAGAAGAGTTACAATTACATGGGCAAGATAATGAGTACATTTCTTATCAAGCATTGTTGCCTCCTCCTTTGTTACCCTTTACCATCCCTACCTATCTACACCCTCCCCTCCCCCACCCCCCCTAAAGTTGTAAAGTTCATTTTTTCGACATAAAATCTTGTATATCTCATTGTTCCAATGGCTCCACCTGTATCCCTATTTAACAATTTCTTTTTTCCCTTCCCCTCCACAAATTATACCAACATCAAATACAGTGAAAACAGGGGTTATACCATGAGGGAGGGACATACAAAGCAACAAAGAAATCATCTTATAAATATATTAGAAACAATAGCAAGAAAGGAAAACCATTTGAGTCCTTAGTCCTCGCCCAATATAAATCTGACTGTTTCTGCTTGTCTCAGACATATACTAGTTATTGCAAATAAGGGAAACTATGGGACCTATGTTTCTTTGGGCCTGGCTTACTTCACTTAATAGAATTTTTTTGAAGTCTTTCCATTTCCTAACAAATGGGGCAGTGTCATTCTTTCTGATGGAGGCATAAGGGAACCCTACTGCATTGTTGGTGGGAGTGTAAATTTGTTCAACCACTTTGGAAAGTAGTATAGAGGTTCCTCAAAAGACTCCACATAGAGCTCTTCTATGACCCAGCAATACCACTTTGGGGCATTTACCCAAACTAAAGCTACCAGCACAACTATGTTTATTGCAGCATTATTTACCATAGCTAATATATGGAACCAACCCAGATGCCCCTCAGTAAATGGATGGATCAAGAAAATGTGGTATACATATTTTTTTTATTAATTCTTTAAAACTGTGCTAATCATTCCTGGTTTTATTTCAACACTACCAAAGAACAGGAACCCACTAAGCTGTTTGTTCAGCATACAGAAGATCATAATCTTCTGGCTTTAGGAACTTGCTTCCAGATAGTGATGAGTGTTCCCAGCACAGAATCTGGGGCTTATATGTTATCTTCACTTCCACAGGGTGATGAATTGATCTAGAATCTAGATCTATAGTCAAGGTGATCAGTTCCATTATTTTTCCACCACTAGCATAGATAGTAGTGTTCTGCTTGTTCTTCCTAGTATCAAGAGCTCTTTAAGGATTGAGCATGTGCTGCTGCAAGATGAACAAATCAGGGGCTGTGAAGCAAATGGGAATTCATCTGACCCATAGACTAAAAAGTTCTCTCTCAGGCAGTGGGTTTCAGTACACAAAGAAAGGAAGGTTCTGGAAGTAGCACAGAAGAAGACAACTGAACTCTAAACAGTTCTGCTCTCAATATCAAAAACTCTAGCTATATCTCTTCTCTCTGATAAGGTCTAGTGCCCTGAGACATTGTGGGAAGAGTTTAGCTTATAAGCTATCTACCAGTACATGGGTGAGAATCTACATGGCAACTTTCCCACTACTCAGAACAACTAGAACATTTCACCAACAAGATTACAAGTGGTTAATGCTTGCAACTAACAATTTGGCCTCAGGTGCATAAATCTCAATGGAGAAATATAGGAAATATGAAAATAAAATATGAAATAAAATAAAATATAAAATAAACATTTCATTTCATATAAATGAAAACATTTTAATATATGAAAAATATTTCTTGTTTTGATTTTTCATATATTTTTATAAAAATATTTCATATAGGTAATAAATGAAGAATCAAAACATTACATCATCTCCAAAGGTCAGTAACACCATAGTAACAGATACGTAGGATAAAGAAGAGGAAGAAAGCCCAAATAACTCAAATGTATGTCTACAAGGACATAATCAACAAAATGAAAGAGAGTAGGTATGAAAGGATGCCTAAATTTAAACATGGTCTATATAAATAACTGAAAGAACTTAAAGAAAATACATATAAATTGCTGATTAAACTTAGGGAAACAATGCTAATTAAGAAAGAGAAAAAAATTCAACTGAAAAAGCTCAATCAATGGAAAAGCTCAGGAACTCAAATTAAAAATTCAGTGGTCACTCCAGTCAAGTGAGCCAAATTTGGAAGAAAAAAAAAAACCGAGCTTGTAGGCAAGGTAAGTATAATACAGCAATCAGATGAAGAAACAGAAAAAAAGTTGAAAAGTATGAATGTAACATGCAACTGCTGATATGTTATTAAAAGACAAAGCCCATGTGTCATGGGCATAGAAGAAGGAAAAGAGGTGAAAGTCAAAAGAGAAACATTACCAAATTTTGAGAGACAGCCGTTTAGATAGAGGAGGCACTTAGAACACTCAAAGATCTACCTCAAAATATAGTAAAGCTAAAACATTGAATGTATAGAACAGAAAGATAAAACTACAATAGAGAAGTGATAAGTTAAATATTATGGCAAGCCACAGAATGCATCAAATTTCTCAACAGAACCTCAAAAGCTAGTCAGATATGAAGAACATATTTTAAATCTTAAAACTTCCAATCTAGATTACAGTAATCAGCAAAACTATCAGAAATAAAAACCATCCACAATAAATAAAAACTAAAGCAATTCACAATTACTAAGCCAGAACTACAGAAGATGCTTAGAAGAATCCTAATATAACTCTTTAATATAACTTTTAAATATAATTTTAAGTGTTAATAGTTTCAATTCTCCAACTAAAAGAGATAGCTAAGAAGGTCAGATTGTAGACCATGATCCAATCATTTGTTGTCCATAGGAAATACATCTCATACAAAAATAGCTTGCAGTGAAAGGACAGAAAATATTTTCCAAGCATGGAAACAAGAGAATTAGGCATACTAGTAAGTATGTGATAAAACAAACTTGTAAACAAAATTAGTCAGAAGGGACACAGAAGATCACATCATAATAATAAAGGGAACAATCCATCAAGAGGAGGTATCAATTGTAAATGTTTATACACAGAATGATGGCAACAGTATTAGAACAAAAAAGCACAAGTATTATTTGGTGAATTCATTGTGCACTCATACATATAGCCTTCATCTAGCAAATATTAATGGGAAAATGTTATAACTAAATGGCAATCCAGAGAAAGTGTAGTTAACAGTTATCCACAAAATAGTCCACCCAGCAGCAGCAACAGAATACATATTTTTATCAGAAACCATGGAATTTTCTCCCCAATGGGTTATATTTGAAGATATAAAGTATGTCTCTCAACTACAATAACATAGAAATTACCACCTGTGTTTTATCAATGGAATAAAACTTGAAATCAACAGGAAAAAGAAAGTCACAGAAAAATTCAAATACATGGAAACTCAAGAATACACTGCTGAATGATGGGTGGATCATTAAAGAAATAAGTGGGGGAAGAATTTAAAAAATCCTAGAATAAAATGAAAATGAAAAAGATGCAGCAGAACCTTTGGGACCTACAATGTCAGTGCTAAAAGGAAAGCTTATTTGCTATATAAACCCTACATTATTAAGTCAGAGATATCTCAAGTAAATTATCAGTTATGTACCTTAAGCTCTTAGACAAGCAAGAACAAGTCAAATACCTTGGTACTAGGTAGAAATAAATATTTATGATCAGGAAAACTAGAAAATTATAGGACAATCTCCTGGATAAAGATGGATAAAATATTTCTCAATAAAATATCTTCAGAAACAATTCAAAAGCACATTGAGCACATAGAACATAGTCTAGTTGATTTTTCCCCAGAAATGCAAGGATGATTCAGCATATATAAATCAATAAATGTGATACAGTGTAAGCTCTGAAAAAATTAAAACAAGAATACCTCAACACAATAACTTCTTAGTACTACACTCTGATGCTTCCTAGACCTTTTGATAGGAGATTTCTTCTAATTATAAAGTGTTCACACTGGTGAAAGAGGAAAGGTGTATTTTTCAATCACTAGCTTCTAATTTTGTTCACCATATTCCTGAACATGTTTACACTTTAAAAATTATTTATTTCCTTGCAGAGTATCAGTGGCTTATGCCTATAATCCTAGCTACTCAGGAGGCTGAGCCCTGAGGATCACTGTTCACAGACAGCCAGGGTAGGAAAGTCTTTGAAACACTTATACCTAATAAACTATTAAAAAAATTAGAAGTGGAACTTTGGCTCTAGTGGTAAGTGCTAACTTTGAGCTCTGAATTTAAGCTCCAGAATTAGAATCGCTCAAAAAATTTTATTTCCATATCAGGTATTATTGTGAATGTCTGAATTTGTTATTAAACAATCAGCAAATATAACTTTATTTAAATTACTTAGACATTTTAACTGAATTTCTATAACTTATTATAATGCTATAAGATTTAGTACACATGGACATAATCTATAGAGAGGCAAACCATCATTCTAGCAAGAAGTGGTCAGATTATCACTCTGTTTTGCCATTCTGCATCATGTGAGGCTCTTTTTTCTTTGTTTTTGGTGGTACTAGGATCTCATACATCCTAGGCAGGCACTAACATGAACTCTCATCTCGACCAAAGCATTGCCATTGAACTAAATCACAGTCTAGTTAGTTTACAGGTTCTCTCTTAGCACGGATCAACCCAAATAGTCTGATGGGATCATCATGAATATTTTCTTCTATTGGCTGGCTTCCTGGTGAGAAAGCATCTACCAAGTCGGTTCTCAAAACACTGGCATCCCTCCCAGGTAATTGCTCATCTGTATCCGTGTCTGTTAAGTCGATGTTCTGTTTCCTGGGCTTCCTACGTTTCCCCCTGTAGCTGTGATTAAGTGAGGCGTAGCACATCTGTGATTCAGCAGCTACCTAAAAAAGAAAGATATGTTAATTTTTCATTGTTAGCCTGTAAGGTTTTATGGTTTCTGGAAAATATCATGGTCTGTGAAAAACAAGTGGCTTATTTTTCATTTGTCAAAATGACAGAATGAAATTCAACAGTGAATTCTAGAATTTTGAGTTGAAAAAATGTTTAAGGGAAACTTTGATTGTTATTTCCTTTCCCCCTACCCCCTCCAACTAGTCCTGAGGCTTAAACTTAGAGAATGACTTGGGTGCTGTCCCTGAGCTTTTATTTCCCTCAAGGCTAGAACTCTACCACTTGAGTGACAGTTCTATTTTTGACTTTTTGGTGGTTAACTTGGAAATAAGAGTCTCATAGACTTTCCTGCCCAGGCTGACTTCAAACCATCATGCTCAGATCTCAGCCTACTGAGTAGCTTGGATTAAAGGTGTGAACCATCAGTGCCCAGCTTTTCATTGCCTTTTGGTATTCAATATATACATAATCATTTTTTTATTTGATTCTGTATTTTCATCTCAGGTATTTCTTACTGTATACTCTTACCAATGACTGGAATAAAAAAATCTAAGGACAATAAACATGAATAAAAGGAAGTTACAAATCACAGTTCTACTGCGTAATAGTTGGTCGTTTTAGTCATAAATGGCTCCATTGTCCCCTACAGTTTTAAGCTTTAGAAGTATAACGATAACACTCGCCACTTACCTGACTGCCATTTAAGACTTCCATCATCATTACTACTATTCCTGCACATACAAACATATTCCTGAAAGCTGGGTAATTCACTGTTCACTGTACATATTCCTGAAAGCTGGGTAATTCACTGTTCACTGTACATATTCCTGAAAGCTGGGCAATTCACTGTTCACTGTACATATTCCTGAAAGCTGGGTAATTCACTGTTCACTGTACATATTCCTGAAAGCTGAATTCACTGTTCACTGTACATATTCCTGAAAGCTGGGTAATTCACTGTTCACTGTACATATTTTGTGCTCTCATCAGCTATGGTGTAGCCAAAACAGATAGGAAAGATGACAGTGAAATTTGAAAAGCACGCATACCACAAACAAGTGGATGCCTTTTGTCTGTCTAGTCCCTTGTTCTATAGTTCTTCTTTTGATCACCTTCCATTCTTTCTTTAATAAAGTTTTCCATAATTGATTCTGGAGAGAGTGTCAATTACCAGGCTGTACCATACGGGAAGCAAGACTAAGCAGGAGATCTATACTAGACCAAAGTGTTAGGTTCATCACCCTTACCCTGGTAACAAGAGTGGCTTGGGAAAGGGGATGTAATTTCACCAGAGACAATTAGATGACATTTATGATTGATTCATACACTTAAAAAATATGCTCCCCCTTAGGTTGAGTTTTACTGAAATGAACTGTTGATAATAGAGGAGAAGGGACTCAGTAAACCTGGTAAGGAGAAAAAAAGAGCCCATCCATATTCAATCATCTCAAAACCCAAATATATTTTCACATCTCTACATCACAGCAGGCAATAATTTCCCTTTTATGCCAAAGAAAGCATTCTGAGTAATACATGGTTGGTCAACTTTATCAAATGCTGCAAAGTCCTGAGAAACGTAAGTCCTGAGAAAGACTGTTAAGTATACATTTAAGAGTCACTTAGACTTCCTTAGAGCTGTGGTTGTTGAGATATGGTGGAAGACATAAAGCTAGGGGTTAAGGAACAAATATCTATGGAAAGAAAATGAAAAAAAGAGGATAGTAAGAGCTAGTTTAGAAATAAGAGAGAAAAACTTGGGTTCAAATTAGGTTTTTGTTGCTGTTCTGTTTGTTTTGTAGTTGTTTTAAATATTGAGGACATTTACACATATCATTAGCCAAATAGTGATAATTCACTAAAGGAAAAATGAAAATTAGAGGAAAAATACTATTTGCTTTTTACTATTCTTAAGTAGTTGTACAAAAGGGTTTAAATTCAACATGTCAGTTTATGAGTACATGCATTTTGAATGGAAAATTAAATAATTGATGCGGTAAGATACTGAGAGATGTGAAGATCCTAAGTAAAAGTACTGGTTTAAAAAGAAGAGAGGATGCTTCTGATTTAGGAATGAAGAGACTAACCAGAGATTTGGAAATAAAAATAAAATAAATTAACTCACACTTGTTACCTTCAAATCTTATAGGCTATGGTAACTCTTGTGGACTGATTTTAGTACTAGTTTTTCTTATTAACTCAGTGATTTACTGAGTTGATTGTTAATAGTAACTGACAAAATGAAATTAGGGTTTTTGAACTACACACATCATTTTGAATTGATTTTGTTTTGCTAATACCAAATGTTTTGTTAACTCTTTATGTTAATAATCTCTTATGCTTTTTGTGATTGACCGGTGCAGCAAAGCATTATAGTAGCAAACTGTGTAGATCATAATTATCCTAATAAAATGAAATTGAGCAAATATAAAGATATTACTTCTAATGTGCAAAACTATATTCGTAAGGAGAATGTAGTAGAATAAAGACTAATTTTTCTGGATACTGGCTTTGAATACATCACTTATAAAACAGAAGACTTAAGAGCATTATATAGATTTGCATAATTTCCACCTGAATAAAAACCAGATGCACTTCAAACAATGCTGACATATATAATTCTGTATATTGAGTCATAATTTATACTCAGAATTCTTATGACTTCTATAGCTACGTAACTGGTATAAATCTCTGCATGTCATTCAGTGTGATTACATATCAACCATTTTTTCAGAACTTTTCTTTTATTACCATGGATTTAGCAGATTCTATTATATCATGCCAGTTTTCATACTTTTAATCAAAAGCATATTTTACAATGAACCAAATATCAAAGACAGCTTTGGAGTCTTCATATTTTGCTCAGATCTCTCCATGTCTTGCTATCTTAATAAAAAAATTTCAAGAAATCCGATTTCTTATGGGATTCATATAAAGAAAAGGGGAGAAGTTCCACTCGAAGAACAATTTCATGATGGGAACCATTGTAGGAGAGGGAATGCTGTCTATAAGACATGACTAAGTTGTACTTTGTACCTGATTGCTCCAAGTGACAATTTTACAAAAATAAAAACATTATAAACTTTTGTGAAACAAGAAGAATAATGTTGCCTCCCTGATAGGAATCTTAGAAGATCATATAGGTAAATAAACCATATAAGATCTGAAAGGCAACAATTGCTTAGGAGACGATGTCTTTGTTACTTTGTCAGTCATGAGAAGATACATGAACAGACAAGATTTGGAAAGAATAGAATGACTTTTAAAATGTACAATTCTTTAGGAATTGTAAACTAAAATGTGTGTGGGTGTGTGTGTGGGTGTGAGAGAGAGAGAGAGAGAGACAGAGAGACAGAGACAGAGACAGAAACTTGGTTCTCACAGATGAGAGAGTTTTGCTATGTAGCCTATGCTGTCCTTGAATTCCTAATCCTGCTGGTTTACAATCCCAAGTGCTGGGATTTCAGGCATGTGCCATCATACCAGACTAGGCTAAGAACTCTGAATGGTCTTTAATAAGATTATTGTTATAGCTAATGTAGTTGAAATGATTGTGCTAGTAATGGAGAAATTAAATTACCCATTCTTGAGATTTTTACACTTCTGGTTAATCTTTTATACTGTCTATCCTTATACAAGCTGTGTATATATTTTACAATTTCATACCATAATAAGACTTGTATTAAAATTTGTACTCATTTGCCTTTTCAAATAGAGGTATGATGTTGTATATACACCTATGTTATATTCATTTAAAACTCTCTCCCTCCCCCTTTTTCTCTCTCCTTCCTTTCCTTTCTATCATTCACAATGTGAATATGAGCATTATACAAGTGTCAACATAATTCTTTCTTTCTTTCTTTCTTTCTTTCTTTCTTTCTTTCTTTCTTTCTTTCTTTCTTTCTTTCTTTCCTTTCCTTTCACACACAAAAGTATTGATCTGAAAGAAAAAAAGCTTAATTATGTAGGAATAATTCAACTCTCCCTTCAAATTTATTGTTTTTCTAACCATACATAGCTTTGACTGAGTGTGGATTGAGTATGTTTTACATGTCTCTGAGTTACCCCATACTTCAGGTCCAGAACTTGACATTTCATTCAGGCTATAAACTTCTCATGCCCATGTACTTTGCCATAGGCCAAACTTCAGTTTTGATACAGAAAAATGCACTCACCTGTGCAGATGGGGTGGCTTCTTTCATGTCATTTACAGATCTTTGTGGTTGGGCTTTCATTTGTTCATAACAATTTTCATCCATTGGTTCTTGGAAATGGAAAAGTTGGTGATTTACAAAGGAAAAGTGAAAGAGGCTGGCATGAATAAAAAGACATGATCTAAACAACACTTAGCTGTAACTATGAAGCCCTCAAGAACATGGAGATGCATGGACGTTCAAGTACAGTGTTACCTGCAGATCAGTGAAAATTTTGCTACGTAGTATTAATGATATGACAAAAAGAAATTCTTAGGGTAAAGTTAATTATGATAATTTTATAGAGTTATGGAATAGTTTCAGCTCTTTTTTTGGAATTTAAATCTACAAAAGTTTATTTTGAGGATATAGACAACTTTTAAGACATAACTAGAAACAATACCAAGATAAATCTCATTAAAAGATTAGTAGGCACCAGGTGCCCATAGCTCATGCTATGGGGGGCTGAAATCTGAGGATCACAGTTCTAAGCCAGCCCAGGCAGGAAAGTCCATGAGACCACAGTGCCACTTCTGGTTTCCTGGTGGTTTATTGGAGATAAGAGTGCCACTGTGGCTCAAGCGCTTGCCTTGCGCTGAATAGCTGAGGGATGGTGCCCAAGCCCAGAGTTCAAGCCCCACAACTGACCAAAAAAAAAGTAGGCAATCTTTTAAGTAATCAGACAGTCTCATGTTAAACTACTACTTAAGAGTTTAAAGAAGGCCTATAAGTTAAGGAATTGCAGAATATGCATAGCATTAATTTGACGGAAAAGATATTTTTACCATACCAAAAGTACCTAATAATATTTCAACCCTTTCTGAAAAAGCAACACTGAGAAATGGTCGATAGAGTGATATTATGCAAATCATGGTCCTGGAAAATCCACATTAGAAACACCTGTTAGTCAAGTAGCTAAATAAGAATCTAGAAAGTGACACCTGGCTTATTTATGTGGGAAAAACACACATATGGTAGACTTTCAGCCACCAGAATACTTAAGAATTAAACTTCGCAAATATTGTAGGTGGCCACCACAATTCTACAAAGGAAAGAGGAAAATGATTTTAATAGTATATTCCTGATAAAAGTTGCTGACTTATTACACTATAGATAGAAGATATTTTGCGATGGAAGGAAAGACAAAATGAAATAAAACTTGGAGTCCAAGAAAATTCCCAATTTTCTAAGTTTAGAAGGAGTCTATTCTGTCCTGATAGGCAGTCAGATATACTTAGCACAGTCCAGAAAGCCTCTATGTTTGAGATGCAGATCAACAGGGACCCCACAGTGCCTGTCATGAGTGGAGGGAAGACTTTCAGTGAAAAGGTGACCACTTCTCTCATTGGATAAGATTAAGGTTGTTTCATTGGAGGAATTTGGAGTGTTTTGTTTTTAGGTTGAAAAGGTTCAAGGTATAAGGGATGTTGGAAATTGAAGAGCACTTGTTATATAAGGACGACAAAATAATTTTGAAACATACAATGATAATTTGCTGTTTACTCCTCACCTGCCATTAGTCTAGTCCCAGCTTCTCTACTTAAAGAGAATGATTTAAAACATAGAAAATTAAAGTGTATTGTTAGACTATTCGCTGTAGATTTGTTTTTATATACAGAGCACAAAGCAATGTTGCTGTGGGTCATTTTCTGTTCTAGAATAGCTTTATTTTGTAGAATTCTTTGTGTGTTAGAATTCATGGTGATAGAATCTTCCTGCATTCCTAATGTAATTAAATTGAAATAAAATGAATATGAAAAGACACGAAGTTGATTTACACAATATCACAATGCAATTTACCATGCATGCCTTTAGAAACATATTCTATCTACTATATTGAACACATTTGAATTTATTATTTCCACTGTGAGTTTTAAATATGATTATGTTAAAAAAGAGTCACCTCAAATTCTTTGTGTAATTAAGTGGGATTTACTTAATTTATTGTCGATTCATTTAACATTTGGAAAAATAAACTTACCTGCAACGATACTATCCAAGTTACCATAAATTGGAGTGTCTTCGATATCATATTCATCACTCCTATAACAAAGAGAAATAATTTTCTTTGTTAGAGTTTATACATAGTAAAGTTTCTTACTAATCACTGTTAGTCAACTAGTAAGTAGAAATTAAAGATTAGTTTCCCAGTTGAACTGAGTATTGAGTGAACTATTGATTATACTTATTTAGCCAAGTTAGGGTTAATTCATGCATGTGCTCAGGTGTATGTGTGTGTGTACCTGTGTTTGTGTGTGAGTATGAACTGAAAAAGTTGGAACATTCATTTTAAGGAATAATGATATTAGATCATTATTCAACATCATCATATCAGGTTCTATTAAAGTGCATTTTTTATTTTTTATTTTTTTTGTTTGTTTTTTTGGGTCCGGTCATGGGGCCTGAACTCTGGGCCTGGGCGCTGTCCCTCAGCTCTTCAGCTCAAGGCTAGCGCTCTACCACTTGAACCACAGCATCACTTCTGGCTTTTTTCTTTTTGCTTATGTGGTGCTGAGGAATCAAACCCAGGGCCTCTGGCATGCAAGGCATGTGCTCTACCACTGAGCCACCTTCCCAGCCCCTAAAGTGCATTTTTTATATTGTTCATTTAGGCAGGCACACCATCATTCCTGATTTACAGACAATTAATATGAGGCATATAGAGCTCACATAACTTGCTCAGGGTCACAAGATTACTAATAGGTAATAAGGATTTTAATCTATGTTGTCTATATTCTTACCCATGTATTTGTACTGACTCTTATACTGATGCCTAATATCACTTTAAATGACTCCTAAAACTGTATTTCTCTAAGTAAGTTTCTATAAGTATCACACTTTTCTACTCTATTACATTCAGTGATAAGAAGGAAGCACAAGAGATTTCTCAGTAGAATGGAATTTTTATTTCGTAAACTCTAAAGTATTAAACTTGCTAAATAGTAAAACAAATGCAATATCTTTTATTTGAATTGTATATATGAGTTAAGTGTTTTAACTAATGATTTATTTCATTGTGTTAGACATTTTCACCAAATAATGTCAATTGATTTCTTCAGTATTACAGCTAATATAGTCCAAGGGACATTTCCCCCATATGCTTGTTTTATCTTATTGTGTGAAGTTTGCATGTTTATGATCTGTAAAGCTGTTGGTGAAGTGGTCATGAGTGCATTTGCTTTCTGTGGCAATAAAGATTTCTGTGCCTCAAAAACAACAATAACAATAACAACAACAACTCCATAGGTGTTTCCTATGGAGACCCAGGGTGGGAGATGCAGTACTATGATTGATTGCTTATTGCATCAGATTCTGGATTAGTGTTTTACATACCTAATATGGAAAGTTCATGGAAATTCTGGAAAAATGGTGTTATTACTCTCCACTTAATGGAGGGGAAGACTGGTATTCAAATAAATTGTTTGTTTCTTAGTTGCATGTGTAATATGAACACTAATTATGTGTGAAAACTTTCTTCATACCAGGGCTCATACACCTCTCGGGATGATCTTATGACATGCACATTACTCCTACAGTACTTATACAGAATTTACAAACTCAGATGTTAAATTGTCCAAAGACAACCAAGTGCTGGGATTGAGATGCAAATTTGGTCTTACGGTTCTGTTTGTCCACATCATGAGAAAGCAACGAACAGGTAATATAATTCAAAAGCTGGAGGGAAACAGCTTAAAATGTTATGGTAGGACCATAGCTTTGTGTATCTGTAGTCAAGAGAACTGGCAAAGAATACGTAGCTATTTGTTCCTGCTAATTTTATTGGATTTCCTTCCAGCTTTATATGTATAATGTTACTATTACAATAGGTACCCCTCCATTGTCACTAAACTGTCATCCTATCAGGCTGGGAACAGAGAAAGTAATAAGTAGTGAGAATGCATTTTATAAAGTAGTATTGGCTGCTTTGACTTGGAGATTATATGTCACTGAGAGCTGGAAGGAACTGCATCAAAAGAAAAGAAACTCATGGCACAACACCCACATTACTCCTGCTGCTTCTTAAAGAAAATAGAATCCACATAGTAAGTTGTATCCTTAAAAAATTACCGTTCAAATGCCACCTAATGAAATGGTTTGAAAGTCCAGATGCTGGCTCATATGTCATTTATATGATGATCAAGAAACTCATCTGTAATCTTTCTTTCCATCCAGTGAGTCAGTACAGCTCAGTATTGGGATATAGTACCATCCCAGCTCACGATTCTCTCCCTCCCTCTCCCCCCCCACCCGCCCCGATAGGCACAGAATACGCTAGCAAAAGGTGAAGACTTTTTAATAATACAGCCCATCCATTTTCCAAGCCCACATAGATAGCAGACACAACCTACAAATGATAAATCATGTCTAAAAAATGAATATTGTTTCATCCGCTATGAATGAAAATAAGATGTGATTTATAATGCAGTGCCCTGTGTCCACAGGCAAGTCTCAAATGATTAATCATCCCAAATAAACTGTGATTCAGGAGCAGTTGCCTAACCAAAAAAAATTAAATATTTTTACTTAGCAATGCCAAATAGCTTCAGCTTATTTCAGATTTGTAATAAACTGCAACCACAAATGTTTGACAGTGTTTTACTTGGAAGAGGACAGTAGTTATTCTTTAAAATAACTTAATTACCTGAAAGCTAGAGGCTAGTGTTCCTCTGAATTTTGAGGCCATATCAGATTTTCATTCTCTAAGTAGATTGGAAGTGTTCCTTGAACTAATAATTATTGATATTCCAACATTTAAAAATACATTAATATTTCTTAGTATTGAACAAATTCTTTGTGCTTTCATTGAAATTTTTATCTAGCTCACATTTAAATTTTTTGGGGGGGGTCTGGTCATGGGGCCTGAACTCTGGGCCTGGGCACTGTCCCTCAGCTCTTCAGTTCAAGGCTAGCGCTCCACCACTTGAGCCACGGCGCCACTTCCAGCTTTTTTCTTTTTGCTTATGTGGTGCTGAGGAATCAAACCCAGGGCCTCATGCATGCAAGGCAAGCGCTCTATCACTGAGCCACCTTCCCAGGCCCGATTTAAATTTTTTCCTAACTTCCATTTTATTGTTGTGAAATACTTTTTAGTTACTTAGCTTCTGTGCAAGTGGGACACAAGCAGGTGAGCCTTGATGAATCCTCGCATACGGTATTTGAGGATTTTGTGTAAGTGACAGACTCACTCCATGCAGCTCATTTTATGTCTTCCTCTTCTGTTTTAGTAGGCTCAGGCAAGTTTTAAATGTGTAACCCAAGATACAGCAGCATAAGGGTTCAAACTTCTATGTCTAGTCATTAATATAGTGGTGATCTTTGCTAGGTTCCATGGAGAGGGAGTTTGCCCTTTGTTAACTAGTGAACATGTTATACAATGGTCTTGAAAAATACCACTTTGGTACTTTCTACTATTAAAAGTATTAATTCATTTTAATTAATCAATTAATGGTTATTTATTGTTATTTAGCTATTAGTTTTAACTAATTTCTAGTAGTAAAAGTATTAATATTTTTTAGCAAATTTTTAGAACTTTTAGTATTTTAGTACTGTGAGTGATTTGTTGTTGATTAAATGTTACATAAGAAGCCAGGCTCTTTTCTACATTTGGCATGCAGTTAGGAGTCTCTTTGCATTGAAATGAGAATTTGGCCAATTTTCTTTTTTTTGGGGGGGGGGGTCCGGTCATGGGGCCTGAACTCTGGGCCTGGGTGCTGTCCCTCAGCTCTTCAG